TGTCTTAGTCTTAAACCACTATCTGTCACCAGTAAAGGACTGGATGAGGGCTAACAAATTAAAGATTAACCCAGACATGAGAAACATAGTTTTGGTCAGTAGAATGGAGATTCAGCCTGTGCTTCATGTGGTTACATTCCCTCAAAGACACAGGTTTACAATTTCGGTCCTGAACCTGGTAGCTTAGATCCTGGTAGTGGCAAGGAGTTTCTTTGCACAGTTAAGACATACACCAGCTGCACATGCTCCTTGAGTCGTCAGATCTGGCCACAGTTATATAAAACTTAGTTACATGCTCTTTGGATTACTGTAACATGCTCTATGTGGGATTGCCTTTGAAGAGTGTTCAGAGAATGATCAAAAGAGCTGCAGCCAAATTGTTAAATGGAGCTGGCTACAGGAAGCACACAACTCCCTCTTTGCAGTATCTCCACTGGCTGCCTGTCCATTTCCAGGCGCAATTCAGAGTGTTGATGATGGCCTGTAAAGTCCTATATGGCTTGGTCCAGGCTATTTGAAGGACCACATCCACCTTTTATGAGCCCATTAGATATACTGGAGAGGTTCTTTTCTCTGTCTTACCACCTTTTCAGACTCATTTGGTAACAAGGAAAAGGTATCACCAGATACTCCCAGACGTTGACCATCCTTCCCTAAGGCAGCTAGGATGGCTCCCTCCTTGCTTTCCTTTTCTGGCAAGTTACAACATTCTTGTCCCATCAGCCTTTTACAAACTGACTGGGATGGGCTTTTAATGGTGTGCCATTCCCTTTTACGGTTTGTGTATTGCCTTGTCATGCTTTTAGGTTGCAATCCATCTTGAGTCCCATTATTTGATGAGGTATAAATGATTGCTGTTGTTGTATTCTTAGAAATATTGAGAAGATCTTGTCACATGTTTTCACCCAAAAATACCTGTGAGGAAGGTGGGCTTCTGTACATGTGTGCCAGGGGCTTGAATGGCAGGTTGAATGTATACTTTATCTGGATCTCCTCAAGATAGATTACTGAATGGCTAACAGCTAACAGTTTCAAAATAAAATTAATTTATTATGAGAGAAAGATAATGCATTATAAGTAAGGGGGATTAAATCAACATCTAACTTGTGTGTTTGGAACTATACTACTTTGACTGCAGCGTGAAAAGCAGTGAATTAGGGCATAATAGATTTCCTCCATTGTGTGTGAGTTGACATTTTATTTTCCATCAGATCAGTTAGTGAACTGGTTTTTTTTTCTTTCTTTCAGCAGTGCTCACAGTTAAATCCTACAAGGCCAGAGTGCCATAGGTCTGGGTTTCCATTTCATTTCTGTGTCCTTCATCTCTTGAATACTTGCAGAGGATCCACCACTTTGGTCTGTAGCATGGCAGCCCTTTGTGGACAGCAGTTGCTAGTGATTTTTAGATGTAGTACATGGTGTGACAAAGAATCCTGTAAACCTCCAATCCCTCCACCCTCAGAGATTCTACTGCTTGTAATTTGGAAGGTGGCAGTGATCATTGAAGCCATTCCAAGATTCATAAGTGTTTTAGAGACATACAGTATGGTGGACTCATTCTTCCATTAGGACCCTTTCATGCAGCACAGAACATGAATTTGTGTGTCTTTCTCATTATACCTGATACCCCAAAATGATTTGCATGTGCAAAAGTGGTTCTGGTCAGTTAAAATGAGAGTTCAGTCTGTGCTTCATGTACTTACATGCTTTATAACTGCCCTGAATTTATGCCCTCATTTGCTCTTTGAGGGTTGTTTTATATACAATGCTTTCTTAAGTTTGCTGGAGTAATTCAGGCCAACTGTATAGTTTTGTGTCTTGTTTCGTAATTGTGTATGGCACGAAGCCAGCATCCAGTTGTGTCCATGAATTTTGTGGGGAGTGGTTTCCTGCTCCCACATTCAGCCCCCATGCTCTCCTTTTCTCCTCCCCTGTACCCAGATCTCCACACCAATCAAAAATGGTCTGGCAGGTTTTTCAGCATACAGAGGATGTTTGAAAATGAGTATCTGCCTCCTCAGAGATGCACGGACTGTTTATCTGAAGGAGCTAGATATGTTTCGCTTGCAGAAGAGAAGACAAAGAGAGGACATGATAGCCATGTTTACATATTTGAAAGAATATCACATTGAGGAGGGGGCAAGCTTGCTTTTCTGCTGCGCTGGAGACTAGGGTATGGAGCCATGGATTCAAATTGCAGGAAAAAGATTCCACCTAAACATTAAGGACCTCCTGGCTTTAAAAACTGTTTGACAGTGGATGATGCTGCCTTCAAGTGTGGTGGAGTCTTTCTCTGAGGGCTTTTAAGCAGAGGCTGGAATGCCAGCTGTCTGGAGTACATTGAGGTTGGGTTAGATGGCCCTTGTGGTCTCTTCCAGCCCTGTGATTCTATGAAGAATGCAACAACCTAGCTGGATCCTGCCCTTGGTCTATATAATGGCTGTGGTAAACCATTGTATATTATTTAAACAATCTTACTTAAACCCCACAAGACAACCTGATTCCTGTTTTTTAGTGGAGCAAACATAGGGTAGGTTTTACAATTGAGTGAGAATCTGTGAATGGATGCAAATACTAATCAGAATATGGTACACACATGCAGTATGGCCCCCATATCTGTGGGTGATACTTTCCTGAAACTGAAAACAGTGGGTGATAGTGAACCCTACTAAAATAATGGACTTCCACCAGAAGTTCCTATAATATTGCCCTAAGGGAGCTAGCAATTTCCTAAATAAGTATGCTCTCTGAAAATTTGCCAGGTCCTGCAGGGCAACCCAAACTTCCAATGAAGCATACGCAGAGTTGTCTCGAAAACCTAGAATACTTGTAGAGATTACATATTTTGTCAGATGCAAGTAGGTGAAACACTGGGAACCAGTCCCATGGATAGCGGCCATACAGTAATTATGAGGAAATCCTAAGAGTTAATTCCTTGTTCCTGGAAAGTTAGATGCTAGGCTAAATTTAGACACAGCATTAAAAATGTATGCATACAAAGAAATAGTTTGCATTGCTCTTAGTGAATTTTTGGAATGTGAGTCCACATATCTGTGTCCAGGAAGGAAGGAAGGTGTGGAGCACTTGGACAAAACAGAGTAGGGATTTCATTCAGTAATGTACATTTGATGTTGCTACCCATGACCGTGTTCTGTCCCTGAAAGTGACGCATTGGGCAGGCCATGCTTGGCATGTAAACCCAATGCCCTTGGCAGACTGACAAGGAGATGATTGACAACTTCCTGTTCACAAAGTAAAAAGGGAATCGCCTTGCAACCTGTAATGCAAGACATTAGCAAGGCTATGATTGACTCCATAGAGGAAAGAGAGATCTGAAGCTACTCTCTGAAGTTGTTCCTGGCTTTGTAATTTCCTTAAACCGTTTAGATATATTCAGATCTGGTTTTGAGCTGTCCGCTATCCTAATTCACAGGGGAGACGTGCTTGAAATCCCAGAAGTACAGTATATAAAATTTTATTAACATGTTTTAAGTCCTTTTCCTTCCCTTCCTCCTCCTCCTTCTTTTTCTCTATTGCATTTGAAACAAAAAGTCAATTAGTCTGTTGGAGCCATGCAACAGACAAACTAGAGGAGTTACAAAATGGAGGGCTAGCTAAGAACAGAGAAATGGCTTCTTACAATCCAGGCTACCTCCCAGCCTTAGGAGCTTGACCTTCTAGTAGTAGGCTTGCTTTCCATAGGTAAGCTGCTGGACAGTGAAAGAGTATTTGGGAAAATAAGTTCTGCCCCATGTAGACCAGACTTCCCCCAGTCTCGTGCTCTCCTGGTGTATTGACTGGTGTTGAATGGGCTGGAACAAAAAAAAGCAAAAAGACAGGAATGAGCAGTGTTATCTCCATAAAATCCACCCTTACTGTTGCTGCCAACACTGTTGAATTTCTTGGGGAGGCGTAAGCAAAAATGTGCTGTTTCCTTTAAACAAGATGCCCACTTCCTGTTCGCCATGCTTACAAAAAGAGTTCTGCATCCCAAAACACAGTTCCAGTCGCAGGGAACAATCATCTTGTTCTAAAGGGAGAGTAGCATTGTTTTGCCTTCTCTGCAGATCTAAGTGTGGGAGCAGCGGGGACAATTGGAAACAGCCAAAGTGATGAGGATATTTGTAGACTACAGGCCCACACCTGTGTTAGTCATTCTAGACAGGTGCATTAGTTGCACCCATTTTGAGTAACTGCAGCAGTTCTTAAATTATGATTGTGATCCAAAATGGGAAGATGGGAGTCTTAAAGCAAGAAGGGATAGCACCCTTGAAAAAGAAGAAGACTTCCCTGGAAACAAGACCCCCTTGTCTCTTTTTGCAGCCTCCCTTTCCCTGCCCAACCCTGGATTTATATACAGAAAGACTAAGATGACAGGTGAAGCACTTGCATTTGTTTGAAATTAGAAGCATTTGAGTTCAAATTTTGTGTTGAAATATATTGTGCAGATCAACATGCTCCACATTCAGACTTTGCTATTTACAGCTTTTAAAATTCCTCCCGACTTCAGCTGCGCATTCATGATCTTATGCTTAAGAGTTAAAAGAAAGGATATCACACGCAGAGACTTCTCAGAGCAGACAAATGATATTTTAAGAAGTCAGATGGGGTCACTTATTTGTAGTTATGACTGTCCACCCTTATTTTAGATGGAATCTTTCACCAAAATAGAACTCAACAGCTGATGCAACTAAAACTTTCGAAATATTCTTACAAAATATGTCCAGCTTTGTATAAAAGTATTATAACATTTATACATGGCCAGTTCCTTCTTTTGCCGAAGACAGCATATAAGAACCTATATTGGAAATGCTAGATTGTCCTATAGAAACTGGGTCCCTCCTAACCAAAGGTAGTTTTCAAAAGTGTGGGTCATGCAACACTATATTGATGGGATAAAGGAATTCATAGGGTTTACCTGCAGATTGGGATTTTGTCTCAGAACTTCAGAAACAGCACTTGTATCATTTACCTTCACTTTTCTCATTTGTTACTAACAGAATGCTACAGACAGCTCTTCGAATTCTTCTCAGAAGAGAGAACAGCCTTTGCGAACATTAGCCTCTCCTCCATCCTGTGAGCATCACAGAATTTGCACGCGTGGTCATATTCATGACCAGTTTAGTCCTGACCACTACCATCTAGAACAAGTGAGTCTTCCTCCTTCTTCCCCTTTTTGTGCTACCTCCCATTTTCAGAGTGGGAATCTTATTTATTTTTGTGATGTTCTTAGGCTTTCCAGAAGTCAAGTATTCTCAGTATAGGTATATGCATTTCTGTCAGGAGTGATGATGACAAGGACCCTCAACTACCATGAATGGCATTGGTTTGGCTGGTCTTCAGGAAACAAAACAAGACTCTCCTGTTAGGTTGCTGTACACAAGTAGCCAAGCACTTATCCAACTTGGTGACTTCATGTTAGGGAGACAGTTCATACATGAAAGCAAATAGCTCCCCAATACCACCACTATACACTGTTTCCTTGAAGTTTCTAGAGTTTGCATTATATGAAAAAACATAAACATTGAAATGCCTGTGCCAGAATTTACTGAGAATTTCAACTACTCCATTCATGGGAATGGCTGCTAGTAATATCCATGTGCAGGGCAATTCCTATTGGGTTTTCTCTGGATACAGCTGAAATATTCTGGAGAGACATTGAGGAATATGGGTTACATGTGTGAGATACTTTGGATCTGCTATTCTTTACTGGATAGATTTTCAGCTACATGTGTCATAACTTGGCCCGTTGGTTATTTAAAGTGAAAAAAAGAAATGGGCAGAGACTTGTATTAGGGATGTTAAGAGTAATGACAAAAGTGACATGATGGGCATAAGGTTTCGCATTGTCCAGAATTCTTCATTAGGAAATCTGGAAAATACAGTAAAGAACAAAAAGTCTAAAAACTAGTGGACAGACCATTCTAAGACACATGTTATGTTACGTTATGTATTGTTACGTTATGTTATGTTATGCTATGTTTATTATAGTAATATGCATGTTAAAATAATGTGTGCTTTTTGTCATTCTCCTTCAATAGTCAATCTCACGGCCATATCGGCATGTCAGCTTCCCAGATGATGATGAAGAAATAGTTCGGATTAATCCACGGGAAAAGATCTGGGTGACCGGTTATGAGGACTACCGCCAAACCCCTATGCGAGGAAAGTACATTGATCAGGACGATGGGGACTCCTACGTGCGGTTTGCCAAACCTGAAGCCTCCAAACACGATTACAATTACCCCTATGTAGGCAACTCTGACTTTGATCCCAGTGAAGACATTAAGGGTGCAGTGATAAAGACTCAGCCTGCCAGGTGCAAATCGCGGCGGCGGAAGGAGGATGGAGAGAGGTCGCGGTGCGTCTATTGTAGGGACATCTTCAATCACGAGGAGAACCGGAGGGGACAGTGCCAAGACGCCCCGGATCGGGTGAGAAGCTGCATCCGCCGAGTCAGCTGTATGTGGTGCGCGGACAGTATGCTCTATCACTGTATGTCTGATCCGGAAGGAGACTATACAGACCCTTGTTCTTGTGACACCAGTGATGAAAAGTTTTGCCTCCGGTGGTTGGCCCTTATCGCCTTGTCTTTTATCGCTCCTTGTATGTGCTGTTACTTGCCCCTCCGGGCTTGTTATCACTGTGGGGTCATGTGCAGGTGCTGTGGTGGGAAACACAAGGCAGCCGGATGACAATCCTTCAAGCTCCTTCGAAGAACTTGGCCTTTTCTCCTTTGCCCTAAGGAGCACCTTGGTCTGGAGCACTCTCAGATTTTGCATACATCCCTGATACAGCCTGGGAGGGAGCCTGCCAACATCCAGAAACCAGTTGGGCGGCTGATACTTTCCCCCCTCCCCTCCCACCTGGCTGCTATGCATTGATTACTCACTGAATTCTAACAGACTAATGTGCAGCATAGACTTTTGTATTATTGATCTGTAATCAACCAGAATGTCCTGTACATGTTTATACCTTCCTTCCCTCTCCTGCCCACCGAGACACGAATGGTTGCGTATGGTGGACTTCAGGACATCTCACGGTGATCCCTGTATTTAGCAAACTATTGGTGCATGTGAAAGTATGGTACAATGGAGCAAAATCCCATTTTTAAGTGTGTGCAATTTGCAGCCAGTTAGAGAGGGAGAGTAATTGTGTGTGTGGTAGAACCTGTGTGAGTGTGTGTACAGAAGATACGCTAGTAAGAAAAGTGTACCATGACACAGTATTGCTGACAATCTCTATTGAAAGAATTCAAGCAGACTGCAGTTTCTTGAGTGTCTGCCAGTTATCTTGACAGTTGTTTTGAGTGATTTTCTGTTTGTCAAATATTTGAGTGGAATGTAGGAAACAAGCCTTAGTATCATATATAATATTTGAGGATCTGAGTAGTCTCAGACCAGTTTTACACAAGAAGGGAAATTTTCAATAAGTGTCTTTTCTATTCCTCACCCTTATTCTTTCATCACTTGACATTAGAAAACATAGTGTTAGTGTTGATGTTCTTCACGATGATCATAGATCGTGCCTACAGTGTTTCCATCTGAAGCAAAGGGGAATTTGACATGTTACTAAATTAACATGTATGCCCATATATTTATGGTGGTACCTTGACATATATAAGAGGACAATTCTCTTTTTAGATCTCAAAGCATGTCTAGATCATTTGTACAAAGGATGGGGAAGAACCCTGTGTTATTGCAAACCCCCCATTTCACATGTTGGGGGCATTTCTGGGATGGATCCAGGGTTCTTCTGCTTTCCAGAATGTCTCAGGCCAACCCAGAAATATAGGGAAGCCTCTGTTGCAAAGAGACATGTTTTGGTTTGCCTTTCGTTGTTGCCTTGGAGGCCTTTGAGCATATGTGGGTGCTTTGAAACTTCTCCTCGTGGAATGAAATAAACCCCTGCTTGCCTCTGGGATTGTCCGGGTTGAGTGAGGATCTGCCACAGCATTCAGCAGGCAGTCAACCACAGGCAAGAGGAATATGGCCTTTTAAAAATTATGGTTCAGTTTCCAACCACGGAAGGTAATACCTTTCTTCACGCATAAGTGAAATTGTTCCCTTCTTCCAGCAGCAGGTCCAGAGGAGCTTAGTGCCACTTTCCTTAAGCTGGTTCGTTGCAGTGATCCTCCTCCTTGAATGCGAATTTCCTGCTTCCTGGCAGGGGTTTGGACTGGAGGGCCCATGAGGTCTCTTCCAATTTTATGACTATGAATCTGTCCTCCAGGCAGCCTGCTAGGCTGAGGTAATTGAGTGAGGAGATGACAATTTTAACAGTGCTTTTTAAAAAAATCACAAATAAAGCCCCGAGGTGAGAGTATAGGTTAAGGAATGTGATATAGAAAGATTTTCCCATGTGGGCAGCAAGTCCCTCACATCCATCAAGCTTCTGGACCTACAAAGTAGATCATTTGCACTGTGAGCAACTTCTAGTAAGGCCACACCTAGGTTCGAGCCCTTGCGTTCCCGGTTCAGTGACTTAATACCCAGATAGAAAGCTACAGGTAATCAAGCTGAAAGATGGGGGTTGTGGTTTTACAGGGTTTTCCATTGTGTGGCCTGAACTGGCACCCAGAGCAATGTCTGCTGTGCAGACTACCACAGGTTCAAGCAGGAGGTCAACATACAGCCATGTGGTTTTCTACTCTCAGATGCACTGAACCAGCAAATTTTGGGAAAGCCTAGAGAAGAGATGTCTTGGGTCAAAGTTGGATGAATCCCAGGCACCCTGCTGCCTTGAAAGGAGACACTAAGGTGTATTTTCCAGCCCTATAGAGAGAACCCTATTGAAACCAGTGGACATCCAGACATAGTGAAGATTGTTCATTTCAGCAGAACTTGGTCGTGCATAAAGCATGTCTGCGTCTAAGAGGCTTCTTTATTTTGCTGTGAAACGTGCACCGCAAGATGAGAAATACCTTTTGTGTGAATTTGATTGTTTCTGTTTTAAGCCATGTCTTGCATACGAGGCTTGTAATTAGCTGGGGAAATAATATTTTTCTAATATATAACATGGAATAGGGAAAGGATTTTTTTATTCAGAGGACTAGCATAGAGCAGTTAAGCTATAATATAGCATAGTACAATCTGAATTTTATTCCGAGGCAGCTAGGCACTGGCTCGCGAGAACTGGCACCGCTGATCCTGCCATAGTTTCTTTCTGCAGCCGACTGCCAGTGAGCGCACGCCCTTGCCCCCCTCCCTCCTTATTGCACATTGATACGAGTCTTAAAGGAGAAGGAAGTGAATTTTTATTTTTGCCAAATAGAGAAACAAATAGTAACGTGCTTGCCACCCTTTTCCACGTGGATTGGGCCATCCAGCTCCTTCTGGGGTTCTCATAGCTTTTATCAGATCCAACTACATATGCAACACTAAATGTGTGTACAAGTGTGTGCGTGTATGTATATGTGATGTTATAGTCAAATTCTGGAGCTCCAGCACATCTGTTTATACTCAGGCGCTGACTTCATGACTGGATGGAGGACATTTTTTCTCTTTCTAACTACCCACTTGGGCCCATTGCAGTATGCATTGGACCAGTCCAGAAATATGTGGGCCTGGCAGTGAGCAGCCCTGGAGGCCTTTTCCAAAACCAGACCCTCTTCTATCCCTCCCACTCCACTTGCTACCTGTCATGTTTCTCTCATCAACTCAGAGGAACCTTCAAGGGTAGCCTGGGAAGAAAAAAAATAGCATTGTTTTGATGTCTGTTAGGGAAATAGTTGCATCACTCCAAAGGGATCTTTAGCAGGCCTCTCCTCGCACTGCCTTTGCCACTTGGGAGCAGCCAAACTGAGGGCCTTTTCCAGGGACTGCTATCCAGTTTGGGACCCAGTTCAGGGGCCTGTGCTCTAGCGCCTTCCCTGTGGGGAAATCGTATGGTCTAGGAAAAACTGCAATATGCCTCCTCTTAGGTGAAATAAAGCCTAGAAAAGAGCACATTGCTATAACTCCCAGATCACCCAAGTAAAGCCGGAAGGAGACTGCAGGTGAGCAGACAATAGATCAGGATCTCTAGGTAGATCTCTTTAGTGGTTTATATTACATAAGTAAAGGTTTCTGGTTCCCAATTTTATGACAATATAAGAGTTCCCTTCCCAAGAAAAGGATGTTAAAATTGAAAGCTTGAAACTTTTTTTTCGTGTCAGGAGCGACTTTAGAAAGTCACGTTTGGTGTGAGAAAATTGGCTGTCTGCAAGGATGTTGCTCAGGGGACACCCAGATGTTTTACGATACTGGGTTGTTGTAGGTTTTTTCGGGCTATATGGCCATGGTCTAGAGGCATTCTCTCCTGACGTTTCACCTGCATCTATGGCAAGCTTCCTCGGATTTAGTGAGGTCTGTTGGAACTAGGAAAAAGGGTTTATATATCTGTGGAATGACCTGGGTGAGACAAAGGACTCTTCTGCTGGAGCTAGGTGTGAATGTTTCAACTGACCACCTTGATTAGCATACAATGGCCTGACTGTGCCTGGGGCACACTTTTGTTGAGAGGCAGAGAAGAGTCCAGCAGAGAAGAGTCCTTTGTCTCACCCTAGCCATTCCACAGATATATAAACCATTTTTCTAGTTCCAACAGACCTCACTACCTCTGAGGATGCTTGCCATAGATGCAGGCGAAACGTCAGGAGAGAATGCCTCTAGACCATGGCCATATAGCCCGAAAAAACCTACAACAACCCACTGATTCCGGCCATGAAAGCCTTCAACAATACGTTTTACCATCCTGTTGGAGGCTTCTCTCATGTCCCTTCATGAGAAGCTGTAGCTGACAGATGGGATCTAACCCCACTCCCAGGACTTGAACCACCGACCTTTTGGCCAGCAGTCCTGTCGGCACAAGGGTTTAACCCAGTGGTTCTCATCTTGTGGGTCCCCAGATGTTTTGGCCTTCAACCCCCAGAAAGCCTAACAGCTGGTAAACTGGCTGGGATTTCTGGGAGTTGTAGGCCAAAACACCTGGGGACCCACAGGTTGAGAACCACTGGTTTAACCCATTGCACTACTGGGAGCTTGAGACTTAAGAGGCCAGAGTTTTGGTCCCTGCTCAGCCATGAAACTCCCTTGGGCAATTCCTATTCTTTCACCCTCAGAGGAAGGTTATAGCATACCTCTTCTGAAATTTTACCAAGAAAAGCCCTATGATATGGTCACTTTAGTGTCGCTGTAAGTCAGAAATGACTTGAAGGCACACAATAAGATGAACTCCCAAGTTGCGTTTTGTATGAAAAGGCATGCGAGCCCAGTTCCGGAGCATATGTTGGGAATCAACCTGCATCTTAACTCTTTAATATGTGCTCAAATAATGATTCTGCTCCTGCTTTCAGTTGGTAGAAACTCAGGGTTACAGGAAGAAACCAGGTAGATCCTCCAAGCCTAAACTCTGCCCATTTTTGTATACATTGTGCAGAATAAGGCAGTAGAAGTCTAAACCATACCACTTTAGACTGCAAGTAGAGTCATAGTATCCTTTCTGGATGTTGTTTTTTTTAAAATCTTCAAGCTGGCAGATCAGAGAGGCTAAACATAAGCGTCTCTTTGATATGCTACCTTATTAAGCATTACATTTTTTAAAATGCCTTTCCTCCAACCACAGGTTGCAATGGTATAATCCAGAATTGTTCATAATGTCTAGATTTGTTATTTGGTTCATATTTGGTATTCAAGATTTGGGATTTGTCTGTAACATATATACACATATGTGACGTAGACTTCAGTGTTATAGTGTTATAGTAATTGTTCGATATTGCATTTGTGAAAACAGTGCTAAATGGTAAGGGAAATCTTTCATTTTGTTTGCGCTATTATTTTCGACTCATGGGAAGATTAGACATTTTTGTGCCTGATAGCAAATGACAAATCTCTAAAGGGTGACTAGTAACCATCAAGCCAGCCTCAAGATAATAATAAAAAAAATGGAACATATATTTGGGGGGAGGGAGGGAGGTATTGTCCCACTTCTTTGAAATTTCTGCAAGATCGTTTCCCTCTACAAGCACAACACTACAGAAGAGATGGTAAGAATCGCCAAGTCTCTATATTCAAGTGATTCTATTTATTTTACTAATCTGAAGCCTTGCTGTATCTCGTCTTCAATCAAATCTCTCTTCGTCTCCCTGTCTTTATTTTAAATGATATTTTAGTTGTCCCATGTTCGTTCTTCTGTGCGTGTTTTTCAACTATGGTTTTGGTGTCTTCATTAAGGGAGCAGCAAAGTGGGCACAAGAGTCAAAAGTGGGGCTGGGAGGGGGATGTTTTTTGTAAATATTTCTCATTCTTCGCACTGCGGCTGAACAGTGTGTGAAGTTTTCCTCCTGTCAGCTTTTCAGTACTGACATTAACCATCTGAGAAATTATTCAGATTTTTATTTTTGTATCTGTGGTAACAATCCATTAACCTAAAGGTGTTTATTTCCCCCCGTCATTACGTGTTGTTTCTTTTCAAGCTATTGCTCACATTAACAAATTTAAGTGCCTGAAGCAGACTTCCATTATGTATCTGTATACTAAAAGTTAAAAACTCTGTTGTATTGATTTTTATAAGCCTTTTT